AGAACCCCAAGAATTCAATTTTTGTTAAAATCAAACTAAGTTTAATTTTGGACCCTTTGGACCTCAATGAAGACCAATTTAAAAAACGGGACCCAAATTAAAAATCTAAAAACACGGTTAGATTTGGCATATCAAAGAACCCCAATAATTCAATTTTCGATGAAATCAAACAAAGTTTAATTTTGGACCCTTTTGACCTCAATATGAACCAATTTGATAGCGGGGCCTACAAATAAAAAATCTAAATACATTGTTAGATTCAGCATATCAAAGAACCTCATATATTCAATTTTTGTTGAAATCAAACAAAGTTTAATTTTGGACCCCAATTTGGACCAACTTGAAAACTGGGCCCATAATCAAAAATCTAAATACATGTTTAGATTCAGCATATCAAAGAACCCCATATATTCAATTTTTGTTGAAATCAAACAAAGTTTAAATACTGGACCCTATCTTGGACCAACTTGAAAACTGGGCCCATAATCAAAAATCTAAACACATGTTTAGATTCAGCAAATCAAAGAACCCCAAGAATTCAATTTTTGTTAAAATCAAACTAAGTTTAATTTTGGACCCTTTGGACCTTAATGTAGACCAATTTAAAAAACAGGACCCAAAATTAAAAACCTAAATACACGGTTAGATTTGGAATATCAAAGAACCCCAATAATTCAATTTTAGATGAAATCAAACAAAGTTTAATTTTGGACCCTTTTGACCTCAATATGAACCAATTAGATAACGTGGTCCACAAATAAAAAATCTAAATACATGGTTAGATTCAGCATATCAAAGAACCCAATATATTCAATTTTTGTTGAAATCAAACAAAGTTTAATTTTGGACCCCAATTTGGACCAACTTGAAAACTGGGCCAAAAATCAAAAATCTAAATACATGTTTAGATTCAGCATATCAAAGAACCCCAAGAATTCAATTTTTGCTAAAATCAAACTAAGTTTAATTTTGGACCCTTTGGACCTTAATGTAGACCAATTTAAAAAACGGGACTTAAAATTAAAAATCTAAATACACGGTTAGATTTGGAATATCAAAGAACCCCAATAATTCAATTTTTGATGAAATCAAACAAAGTTTAATTTTGGACCCTTTTGACCTCAATATGAACCAATTTGATAGCGGGGCCCACAAATAAAAATTCTAAATTCATGGTTAGATTCAGCATATCAAAGAACCCCATATATTCAATTTTTGTTGAAATCAAAAAAAGTTTAATTTTGGACCCCAACTTGGACCAACTTGAAAACTGGGCCCATAATCAAAAATCTAAACACATGTTTAGATTCAGCATATCAAAGAACCCCAAGAATTCAATTTTTGTTAAAATCAAACTAAGTTTAATTTTGGACCCTTTGGACCTCAATGAAGACCAATTTAAAAAACGGGACCCAAATTAAAAATCTAAAAACACGGTTAGATTTGGCATATCAAAGAACCCCAATAATTCAATTTTCGATGAAATCAAACAAAGTTTAATTTTGGACCCTTTTGACCTCAATATGAACCAATTTGATAGCGGGGCCTACAAATAAAAAATCTAAATACATGGTTAGATTCAGCATATCAAAGAACCTCATATATTCAATTTTTGTTGAAATCAAACAAAGTTTAATTTTGGACCCCAATTTGGACCAACTTGAAAACTGGGCCCATAATCAAAAATCTAAATACATGTTTAGATTCAGCATATCAAAAAACCCCATATATTCAATTTTTGTTGAAATCAAACAAAGTTTAAATACTGGACCCTATCTTGGACCAACTTGAAAACTGGGCCCATAATCAAAAATCTAAACACATGTTTAGATTCAGCAAATCAAAGAACCCCAAGAATTCAATTTTTGTTAAAATCAAACTAAGTTTAATTTTGGACCCTTTGGACCTCAATGTAGACCAATTTAAAAAACAGGACCCAAAATTAAAAACCTAAATACACGGTTAGATTTGGAATATCAAAGAACCCCAATAATTCAATTTTAGATGAAATCAAACAAAGTTTAATTTTGGACCCTTTTGACCTCAATATGAACCAATTAGATAACGTGGTCCACAAATAAAAAATCTAAATACATGGTTAGATTCAGCATATCAAAGAACCCAATATATTCAATTTTTGTTGAAATCAAACAAAGTTTAATTTTGGACCCCAATTTGGACCAACTTGAAAACTGGGCCAAAAATCAAAAATCTAAATACATGTTTAGATTCAGCATATCAAAGAACCTCATATATTCAATTTTTGCTAAAATCAAACAAAGTTTAATTTTGGACCCTTTGGACATTAATGTAGACCAATTTGAAAACTGGACCCAAAATTAAAAATCTAAATACACTGTTAGATTCGGCATAACAAATAAATAAATGTGATCAAAGATTTTACAAATCTAATGCGCCATACTGTGCAATTAAAGATTACTTCTTGAAATTTTTCAATATTTGAAATTTGAAAAAAAAATAATATTTGAAGAATAATTCTTTTTAATTTCTGAAATCTGAAATGAGAAAAAATTGGCCCCCCACAATTTCTTTTTATCCCCCCCCCCCCTTTTTTCCCCCAAAAAAATTCTTTCCCTCAAGATATGGTCATAATCTCAATTCAAATTTCCAATGGAGTTGGCAACCATAATTACCCATTTAAATTTACCATAGTGCTAACTTAATCTATTTTATAATAGAATTAATAAAAATAAAGTGTCAAATCTTTCATATGGATTTTTTTGTAAAAAAAAAAGATGAAAACATTTGCAGATATTTTTACTGGTCTTCCTTTATAAATATGCATTTCTTTAAACATAATTTAAAAGCAGTGTAAGGGAAGTAACCAAAACGTTGTATTTGGATTACCTCCCTTACACTGTTTTAGATTATCTTTATTGTTCATTAACCATTACTTTATACATAATTTAAAAGCAGTGTAAGGGAGATAATTTCAATGATGTATTTGATTTATCTCCCTTACACTGCTTTAAATTATGTTTTGTACTAAAGTATTTGTCCATTAACCAGGACAACCTTGTTTTTCCCCCTTTTTTGCCCCTAATTCCTAAACGGTTTGAGCCATAACCCCCCAAAGCAAATCCTAACCATCCCTTTGTGGTATGGAAACTTGTAGTATAATTTCAGAGAGATCCATACACCGTTCCACAGTTATTGTCTGGAAACTAGAAAATGCTCATTTTTGGCCCCTTTTTGGCCCCTAATTCCTTAACTGTTGGTACCATAACCCCCAAAATCAATCCCAACCTTCCTTTTGTGGTATTTAACCTTATGGTCAAATTTCAAAAAGATCCATTCACTTAAACTAAAGTTAGAGTGCGAAAACCAATATGTATTTGGACGACGACGACGCCAACGTCATACCAATATACGACCACAAAAATTTTTTGCGGTCGTATAAAAATGCTTATTTTTGTCCCCTTTTTGGCCCCCAATTCCTTTACTGTTATTACCATAACCCCCAAAATCAATCCCAACCTTCCTTTTGTGGTATTGAACCTTGTGGTAAAATTTCATAAAGATCCATTCACTTAAACTAAAGTTAGAGTGCGAAAACCAATGTGTCTTCGGACGACGACGACGCCAACGTCATACCAATATACGACCACAAAATTTTTTTTGCGGTTGTATAAAAATTGGTTGATGAGGGAAAACTTTATTCCTTTGGCATGATTCAGTTTATAAAAATGAATGATATTGGTATGTTATTAATCATTAAAACATTACAAATGATTAATTTAGTTCTTAGGGGTAATGATATTGCATATTTTTGGTATACATATTTAACTTGCTATATCAGTTATTTTAACATGTATAAATCAAGATATTTTTTCTTGAAAAGGTTTGAATTTTACAGGTAAATAGAATTACAAGTGACTAGCAATATAGATTATCAGAGCATTACCTATTATATGACTAACAGGTGTCAAAAGTTTAATCACTAACAACTGTCCCCTAATAAATGTTGACATACAGGGGCGGATCCAGCCATTTATAAAAGTGGGGGTGAATTTTACAGGTAAATAGAATTACAAGTGACTAGCAATATAGATTATCAGAGCATTACCTATTATATGGCTAACAGGTGTCAAAAGTTTAATCACTGTAACAACTGTCCCCTAATAAATGTTGACATACAGGGGCAGATCCAGCCATTTATAAAAGGGGGGGTTCCTTACCCAGGATAAAGCGGGGGTTCCAACTATATGTCCCCATTCAAATGCATTGATCGTCAAAAAAAAGGGGGGGTTCCAACCGCCTGAACCACCCCCTGGATCCGCCACTGACATAAAAGTGATTTCTGAAGATTGTTTTAAACAATGAATTAATTCCTGACTATTCAACAGCATGATAAAAATCTTCTAAATGCAGGAAATTTTTTTTTTAATAAACATGACAAGTATATAACATATATATGTATAAAACCAATTTAAAAATTTTTTTTTTTTAATTGCATCTTTCAAAATAACTGTCAAGAAAACCAGATGTTATATAGTCTCTTTTAAGTGACTGACTTCATATGGTGTTAATAACTATATCTGTTGTATGATTAAATTAATATTTGATAAATCTTCATTAAACCATGTTCATGAACTAATTAATTGTGACTTCTTGTCTTAGTACAATGTAGTAAATAAGTGACTTTCTGCCTTGTGACTATATCTATCCATTTACCTTTATGTTTTTATATTAAAGTCCTATCAAAAATTCAATTGACCAGTATTAGCCAGTATTTCCCGGTATTTACCGCCGGCATGTCAATACTAGTATTGACTGCTTTTTTGCCAACCTTGTTTTACACCCAAATAAATTTACAAAAATAGGCATTCAATTCTTAATTAATATATATATATATTGCACAACAGACCACACAAGGTCTGGATAGCCTGACTTGGTACAGGCACTAAACAATGTGGTGGGGCTAACCAGTTTCATCAAACATAACATCCATCCATTTTAATTTGGGAATTATAACAAACCTCTTCTTCACTTAGTTCTCCTGCTCTCTTGGAAATGTCAACATCAGCCTTTTTACATACAACATTGGCATAACGCCTACCGATACCCTGGAACAATAAATCACTTCAATGTTATCTTTTTCATAAGTTATACAAATTAGATCAACTCTTATAATTGTCAACAATTCTGTGAAAAGTTGTTTCATGGAAAAGTCTTAGTTAAAAAAAGATTTTCCTGAAAAACAAAACGCATTTAACGTGTACATATCTAGTGGCTGCATGGGTTAAAAAATCCACAAGCCTGACGCCCAGGACTAAAGCATTTGCGCCTCAGGCAATCAATACTTGTCATCAATATGCCCAACGACCTAGTAAAAAAAGTTCTAGGTGTTACCAAAATAATAAAGAAAATCCCTTCATCACTATTATTGTCTTGTATGATGCATTGATTGATATGACCTGTTACTTAGTAAAAAGGATTTAGCCTTTCAGAAATTCTTCAAAAATGCTAACTATACCACTGATACCTTTATCTAACGTTCATTTCAAGTAACTATTTAAACTCAATTGTGCTTTGAAAGCGTACTCAAGATTTCTCGTGTCAATCTTTGTGTTTTACCATTGTCAACATACGGTATTAGGAAACATGCTTTCATTTATTTAAAAACCAGTTGTTGGCATGACACGGGTTATGTTCTTCTCGTATATGTTATGATGGTATGATACTAAACCCCTAACGGGAAGGATTGTGCCTGATATTCATATGATGAAGACATAATCTTTCAATCAGTTTAATTGAAGTCTGGAGCTGGCATGTCAGTTAACTGCTAGTAGTCTGTTGTTATTTATGTATTATTGTCATTTTGTTTATTTTCTTTGGTTACATCTTCTGACATCAGACTCGGACTTCTCTTGAACTGAATTTTAATGTGCGTATTGTTATGCGTTTACTTTTCTACATTGGCTAGAGGTATAGGGGGAGGGTTGAGATCTCATAAACATGTTTAACCCCGCCGCATTTTTGCGCCTGTCCCAAGTCAGGAGCCTCTAGCCTTTGTTAGTCTTGTATTATTTTTAATTTTAGTTTCTTGTGTACAATTTGGAGTTTAGTATGGCGTTCATTATCACTGAACTAGTATATATATTTGTTTAGGGGCCAGCTGAAGGACGCCTCCGGGTGCGGGAATTTCTCGCTGCATTGAAGACCTGTTGGTGGCCTTCTGCTGTTGTCTGTTCTGTGGTCGGGTTGTTGTCTCTTTGACACATTCCCCATTTCCATTCTCAATTTTATTTCATAGAGAAAGTACAATTCCGACAGTGTGATATTACATTAATAAAAGAGTCTAAGGCAGATTTTAGTACACTTATATTGAACATTTCGTATCATGCACTGTCAATTTAACAGATTACGTCAGAACAAATTAAATATCAAAAATCTGAAGTTCAATATCGTTTTTTTTGTCAATCATTGTTATGATGCCAACATTTTTACAATGATTTCCTTTGTTACTAAGTCTTACAGGATTGGAATCTGAATCAAAAGAAAATGTCCAGCTTACTCTAATAATTGTTAGCACAGGCTAGCAGTTCTATCAACAGGACTAGTAAAATCCTGCTACCAATAAGGCTAGTGAGCTGTAACAAAAATTTTTAACTCCTGGGATGCTAGGCCTTTAAACTTTTCCAACTGCACAGGTTTGTCTGTACTCAGAATAGAGTTATTTTAAGGTGTAAAAACAGCAATTTTTGTCCAATTGTTATGATGAACCTTAGTTAAAGGATTATACCTCAATTCATGTACATTCACCATTTGACATATAATTAGACCAATATTGACAAAATAATTGAGGTATTATGTATTTATCACAATTTTTTTTCTCCAAGATATTCGAGCATCCTTTTGCATGTACAATACTAAAAAATTCAAACCAGAAGTGAATGTCCTGTTCTTTTTCAGTTGGACCAGGCAAAAAGGCAATATTAACTCATGATTTATATCAACAGGGCAACAGCATCAGTATTGTACATGCTGAATTATCTGTACAAGGGCTCATATGATATTATTAGGTCATACTAATGCTTACCTTGATGGCAGTCATTGCGAACATAATGTTCCTGCGACCATCAATATTCGTATTCATAATACGAAGAATGTGTTGAAACTTCTCTGGCAGTATCAATGCCTTAAAAATATACAAATTTCTGTTTAAAACATAAATTTTGTCTGATTGTTATTATCTGCTCTTATTGTTAGTGTTTGCCAATTAATATATACATGTATTTATCTTTATCCGTGCAACTCAACCCACATATATGAAAATATAACATTTTTTATCCAAAATAAAATAATAGACAACTACTCAAACATTTGATCCAGTCCTGAACTAGACACTAGCTACGGGACTCAAATACAGCAAGGTGGTAGACCTTCATCAATGACCAGGGCTAGACTATCAGTTTATTTCCTATCATTATCAATTAAGATATATGATTTGAAAATGGATAAATCTGTTGGAATCTTTAAATCAAGATGAATCAATAGATTTTAATCACAATTAAACAACAGCATATAGGAATCTATTAATTCCGACTCTTGAGCAATATTGCGGTGTTTCATTTTTCGGGGTATAAATAAAGTTGTCAGGTCGTTTGTTCAGAACCACTGGACCCCCTGTTTTTATCCAATGTAGAATCTCTCTGCCTGAACCCTGTACACAATTTATTCAGAAAACACATTAATTATTAATTGAGGAAGGGTTTCTCATGAAAACCAGCTATGGATGATTTCTAATTAATCGAAGTACGATGGATATATTTCGGATAAGTTAGCACTATCTATCTAACCATGTTGAAGATTTAACCGGAAAAGGAAGTTGGCGTAAATAAAGGGAGATAATTTTATGTCCAGCGAGCTAGTTTGACAGTACTCTACAGTTATCCCCCAGGACTGTTTGTGGCTGATTTTATTCAGTAAACGTCGAAACATAACATAAGAACACAATTAAACGTGTATCTTCAACAAAATATATGGGTATTATACTATAGTTATTCTTCAATCATACAAAACACCAGATTACATACTACTTTTTTACTAGTGAAAAAAATCTAAACACAAGGGCTTGTATCATAGATGAAAGTCTTGATGGGTTTAACGGAATAAAGACTAACACCAAATAATGTAATGAATACAGAAATATTGAGCACATCAACTTGTCCCATAGACAGCATGGACCGACTTTTAAGTCAACTCGGACCGTCTAAAAAGTTATCTCTGACTATTAATATTAAAAATGTCAACTCCAAAAAAGAATAAAAAGAGAGTTTGGGCCTTTTAAAGGAATATAAATGATTAAATGTTATTGAATTTGCAAAACACTTTCAAAATATTTTTAATGTGAATCCAAATTTCTACATATCTTTATTAATCTATTATAGAAACTTAATTTATACAAACAAATAAAATTGTTTTATTTATTTAGTGAATTTGTTATTATTATATTTTTTATATATTTTAATTTTGTTGCATAATCATATTTGTTAATTGAATATATAATACACCTTATCGCTATTTATTCCATTCTGGATAAGTTCTGAAATTACATAACTTTTTAAACCTGTTGAAGCTATCTGGAGCCCTGTTCAAACAATATACTGTGCATAAAATTTTTCAGAGTTGTGTTTAATTATTGTAAACACTTCAAACAAAGCATTTTCTTACTTAAATTTGTGTATAAAAAATAAGATCATAAACATGATAAACTACAAAAATTTCAAAATGTTCACTTCCTATACGTTTTCCTCCCTCAGCTTATTACTGATGACCTTTGTCTTGCGACAGTTTACCCAAACAGGAAGTTGTCTAAATGACTGTTTTTTTACGGAATGGACTAAATAGCAATAAAGTGTATTCATTATTTATTATATTTGTTTATTTTAATCTCATTGTATTTTATCTAAAGTCATAATAATTTAGATTAAATTGAATTAACAATCAGTAATGTTCATGATGTTAATTTTATTTTTCTAATAAAATGATCAATAATAATAATAATCTAATATTACACAAGCCAATTACAGGTCGTTGAGAAATAAATCATAAAAACTGAATTACGCACAAGGTTTGACCAACTTGGTGTTCACATTGAATTTTGATGCTAAGAGATGAACTTTAATTTCTAGCAATCTGATTAAACTACAGATCCTGTGTCAAAGTTTTGTTTTATACAACGATCTGAAGATTCTCTGTTCTACTTTCTGTTTTAAAGAACATTTGGGATTCTCAAACTTTGTCTGATTAATACACGCCTTCAAAAATTTGAAGCCTGAAATTTCATAGGCTGATGTAATAATAACAAGAACAGAGAGTAAAACGAAGTATTGTAAGATCCTTTTATTAAGCAAAGCTTAGACACATGATCTGCATTTTAATCTGATTATCAGATTGAATTTCTGTTTAAAAGATTGTTGTAGTGCACTCAAGGCAAAACAAGTATCAGGAGATGCACATGAACTCAGGAGGACCAATCATTGAAATTTTAGTGTTCCTTATGTGATATTTTGATTACCTCCTCTTTTTTTTTTTACCCCTTTTGAACTTGTTTTCAGGATGTGCATTTATTTGAGAAACACAGTTTAAATGTTTGTGAGGTAAAAAAACAAACACAAACTTGTACAGGTGGAAAAGATGTCTAGAGGTAACATATATATACCGAATCAATTAAAGTGTTCAGATCTATGTTCTTGGTTGTATGTTTGAAATGGCATGCTTTAAACAGTAAATTTTCCTGTAAAGCATTATTATTTTTAATTATATCTGTTTTAAAATAATGAAAGTTGAAGCAATATTCATATTATATCTTATTTATTTACAGATCATGGATCCCCATGAGACTATGGATTTAAACCTTGGAGAGCTAGATATTACATCTGAAGATTACTGGCTTGATGAAGTTGATGGTAAGAGCTGGAATTAATTAGTATTTTAAATGAAAATAATTATCTATGTGAAGACTGATATATTTTCATGATTTTAGGGAGATGTTTTTTGTCTATTACCACTGTCACTACATATGGATAAATGGTAATACATGTAGATGAATATCTACAATTAATCTACCCGGTAAATTGATTTCAGCTAAAATCAACTTTATCTTTTTACAATGTGTACTGTTGATGAAGATCTTTTGGCAAGATATAAAGGTTATTCTGCAGTGTTTAATTAATTTGTTACAATTGTCTTTCATGTCTTATGTACAACACTTCTTGAAAGTACATGTATATAATCATTTTGTGGCCACTAAAAAAGTTCTTATAGCAAATGAAATGGTCGCACTCTCTGTCTGACAGTCATCTTTACAGCTATCCCTACCATATGGTTCACTCTTTCCCTTAAATCTGTCCCTGCTTGGGGAAATAGAAATAACATTTTTCTAGAGACCCCATCAGATTGAGACTATAATAAAAAAAAAACCTATGTTCTCCTTCCCTGCTAGGATTTTCTGAGCCCCCAATTATTTTTATTTTGATTTTCTGCTGTTTTCACTGAGAATGGCTAAAAGTAAAATTTGCCCCCATTATAATTTTAAAAAGTTATTTGACAATCTAGGATTTTTTTTTTATGAAGGCTTTAAAGAGACAACTTGCAGGTTTGTTTATATTGGATCCAATATACCAGCTTGTTAAATGTCATGGATTAATTTAACATGTTGTTTTCATTAAAGACTAAAGATGCAATAACAAAACAGTTATTTGTGTTATAAAAAACCCAAAAAAATATAATTCTGTTGTCACTAGAAAAACTGACAAGTAAAAGGTTTTTGGGTATCAACATTCCAGAATGAGCCAGAATCTCCAAATATGTTATTTTCATAGATATGGAAATCTCCCACATGATAAGAAAAAAAAAACAAATTTCTTACCATTTCACTGTTGTTATAACTATCACTTCAAGAATAGTACTTTTCCTGTAAGAAATTGATAAATTACTGTTAAATAATTTTTTGGAAGACTGTCTTAACTAACTACCTTCAGTGCATGCTGACTTTTCATAGCTATTTTATTCCTTAACTCCCTTCTTTTTGAATTGTTGATTGGATGGGGGTATGGTTGTATAGTGATCATCAATGACTTTATTTTTGTCGAGCCTTCGACTTTTGTCGAAAAAGCGAGACATAGCGATCCTACATTCCGTCGTCGGTGGCGTCCACAAATATTCACTCTGTGGTTAAAGTTTTTGAAATTTTAATAACTTTCTTAAACTATCCTGGATTTCTACCAAACTTGGACAGAAGCTTGTTTATGATCATAAGATAATATTCAAAAGTAAATTTTGTAAAAAAAAAAATCCATTTTTTCTGTATTTTACTTATAAATGGACTTAGTTTTTCTGCCAGGAAACATTACATTCACTCTGTGGTTAAAGTTTTTGAAATTTTAATAACTTTCTTAAACTATCCTGGATTTCTACCAAACTTGGAAAGAAGCTTGTTTATGATCATAAGATAGTATCCAGAAATAAATTTTGTAAAAAATAAATTCCATTTTTTCCATATTTTACTTATAAATGGACTTAGTTTTTCTGTCAGTTAACATTACATTCACTCTGTGGTTAAAGTTTTTAAAATTTTAACAACTTTCTTAAACTATCCTGGATTTGTTCCAAACTTGGACAGAAGCTTGTTTATGATCATAAGATAGTATCCAGAAGTAAATTTTGTAAAAAAAATCCAGTTTATCCGTATTTAACTTATAAATGGACTTAGTTTTTCTGCCAGTTTACATTACAATCTCTGTGGTTAAAGTTTTTTTTAAGTTTTAACAACTTTCTTAAACTATCCTGGATTTGAACCAAACTTGGACAGAAGCTTGTTTATGATTAAAAGCTAGTATCTAGAAGGAAATTTTGTTAAAATTTTGTTCCATTTTTTCTGTATTTTACTTATAAATGGACTTAGTTTTTCTGCCAGGAAACATTACATTCACTCTGTGGTTAAAGTTTTTGAAATTTTAATAACTTTCTTAAACTATCCTGGATTTCTACCAAACTTGGAAAGAAGCTTGTTTATGATCATAAGATAGTATCCAGAAATAAATTTTGTAAAAAATAAATTCCATTTTTTCCATATTTTACTTATAAATGGACTTAGTTTTTCTGTCAGTTAACATTACATTCACTCTGTGGTTAAAGTTTTTAAAATTTTAACAACTTTCTTAAACTATCCTGGATTTGTTCCAAACTTGGACAGAAGCTTGTTTATGATCATAAGATAGTATCCAGAAGTAAATTTTGTAAAAAAAATCCAGTTTATCCGTATTTAACTTATAAATGGACTTAGTTTTTCTGCCAGTTTACATTACAATCTCTGTGGTTAAAGTTTTTTTTAAATTTTAACAACTTTCTTAAACTATCCTGGATTTGTACCAAACTTGGACAGAAGCTTGTTTATGATTAAAAGCTAGTATCTAGAAGGAAATTTTGTTAAAATTTTGTTCCATTTTTTCCGTATTTTACTTATAAATGGACTTAGTTTTCTTCCAGTTAACATTACATACAGTCTGCAGTTTAAGTTTTTAAAACATTTATTAGATTCATAAACTATCCTGGATTTTTACCAAACTTGGACAAAAGCTACTTACAATCAAAAGATAGTATAGAGAGGAATATTTTTATTAATTTTTTTCCTCATTTTTGTTGAGCCTGCGATTAACAGCAAAAGTAGGCGAGACACTGGGTTCCGCGGAACCCTTACCAATTTTGTAGTCCATTTGTTCATTTGTTATACTCCGATTTCAAAGAAAGGGGGGTCCTCTGTCCATCTATTTTTCAATCCATCCCATGAAATAATTAGAGATTCATGAAATTTGGTATCAAGCTTCTTATGAAAATGCTTGATCATGTGATACGTTTTCACATTAGTCAAATATTGAGTTCCTGTTTGCCAAATAATTATATATATTCTTACAAATATAGCCATGGTTGACATTTTTTGTTGCGTATTTACTCAGGAAGTGCAAACAGATATTCCTGAAATTTGGTATCAAGTTTCATTTAAGCATGCTATTCTGGATGATTTGTTTTCACATCTATTGCTCACCAACCTTCTGTATAAATTACTGAATACTTATATTGGTATATCATTTGAAAGCACTGTAGCTCACCAACCTTCTGTATACATTACTGAATACTTATATTGGTATATCATTTGAAAGCACTGTAGCTCACCAACCTTCTGTATACATTACTGAATACTTATATTGGTACATGTATATCATTTGAAAGCACTGTAGCTCACCAACCTTCTGTATACATTACTGTATACTTATATTGGTATATCATTTGAAAGCACTGTAGCTCACCAACCTTCTGTATACATTACTGAATACTTATATTGGTATATCATTTGAAAGCACTGTAGCTCACAGTACATTTTGTTTGTCTGGACTTTATTTTATTTTTGACTCATTTAAATTATGGAGTTTCCCACTGCAAAACATAAGCTTTGCCATATCTTCAAAAGAGATGAGTCTGCAAGTCCTCATAAGTAACAGAACAGATTTCATTTTAAGAGTTTTTTTCTGCACAATGCAATTGGTTGCTTTTTTTTTAGTCCTGTTCTGAATAATTTTGGGTGTTCCCATTGGAAAACATAAACTTTGTCATATTGTAATTGTTGAAAGAAATTTGGAGTGCAGCTTAGCAACTACATGTAGCAAGTTCTGCTCACAGCTTATCTAGTTGTTGTATTTGGATGTTACAATACATAACATTTATCCAAGTGTTTGTTATAAAATCAAATGTGTGTATATGGATGTTACATAAAGGTAATTTATTGTATGCAGGTAATTGTTAAAAATCAGATGTGATGGATACTATCTGATGTACATGTAGTTCGTTGTATAGGTCTATGTGCTAGAAATTCCTTCTTTTGTTTACAGTACACATACAACAGAATCTAGAAGATGAAATTGTCAAAGAAGCCCTGAAAACTGTATGTATATTCATGTAATGAGTAATGGTAAATATGAGTAGATGTTTAGAGTAAAATAACAATTGCAAGAAATAGGCTAGCATACAAATAAAAGATGTGGGTAATTGTCAATCAGACAGAATCAAACAACACAGGTTATGCAAAATAGATAGATATCATAAATGGTTAAGCTTTACAGAAAATTGCTTTCTTTGAATCTTAACAATCAGTAACCATTGATTATTTTTGGTCAAATGAATGAAAATCACATAGGGCAAAAGTCTAGCTATCATTTACCTTAGAAAATCTACCAGTTAATGCATAAAATAAAAACCATGCAATTTGAATTAAAAAAAAATACTGTGTTCAAAAGATATAACATAAAAAACATGATTCTCACATTTTTTCAGGGAGTGGATTTAAGACAGTATTCCAAGACAGTAGAGAAGGAATTACTAGGTGTGGAAAATGAATCAATTAAAGACTGTATCCAAACTGTGAAACCTAGTCATAATTGATATTGACATATTATCTTTTAACTTTTGTTTTAAAGATACATTTTAGAGTTTAAATCATCATAAAAAGTTTGTAACTCTGACATATATACATTTCATTGATTCACATAGCAGTTTAACATCCAATGTCATTTCTCAGGTACAGTCCTTTTCCCACTGAAGTTATATTTCAGTACCATAACTGGTTAATTGGTCATACATCCGTTTAAGGTTTATCATGACAAATTTAAAGCGATCCAAACTTAATGGCATTAACTAGCTGTATAAAACTTATTTCAGAAAAACTATAAGAGCTAGACAAATCAATATCTTGTAAACATACATTCAACCACTGCAATAAGCATGTTGATGAGTGTAATTTGATATTTTCCATTCGAGACAGTAAAATTTTCAAGCCTCACGTCTTAAATATTTGAAATTTAACTGTTGAGAGTGGAGAAATATTGTATTGCACGAGATTCAGTGGTGGAATCTGTTTCTATAAAGATTTGTAGACCGTATGTAATCCTATGTAGACAAATTTTTGTTTTTGTTAATGATCTGCAAAAAAGATGAGTTTTTTTTATGTGACATTATACATTTATTTCCCGTGCCGGAGGGAGATATGAAGATTTGTTCACCCAAGAATATTCATATTTCACGAGGGCTCTGCCCGAGGGAAATATGATTTTCGAGGGTGAACAAATCTTCATATCTCCCAAGGCAAAGGGAAATGAATGTTTTATTCCACTGCCTATGCTTTGTTTACTATCAATACATTAAATATTATTTTGCATACATTTTTTTTCTTATCCGCTTGTTTTTGTAAGTCAAACTAAACACGACATGCCCATTGATAAACAGTAAGGATCAAAATTTAATTATAAATTTTTTTGTTTTATCGTCTGAAATAAATTTGAACATGTTCATGAGTTTAGCTGTCGCTATTTTAAGAAGAATAGGAAGTTCAAAACGTTATGTACATTAACCGCACGTAACATCGCACGAAGTAATCCCGACATTTCAGAGGGGAATATGATCCTCAGAATGGAATATGAAGATTTGTTCAATGACACGTGGGATAGTCTCAACCAATCAAATATTGATTAAACTATCAATATGTTTAAACAGTGGAATAATATCAGTTATGGTCACCTTTATTATGACATCACAATCAGAAATTCAGAGGAAAGCAAGAAAACTTGACATCATAATTGAATTTTGACCAATGAAGAACTGAGATGAAATGAAAAACACATTGTTTACAAAAAAATTTATCAAAGGTGAAATATCTATACTTGAATAAAAAAGATGTTTGAATATTCTGGTCAAATGAGCCTTGTACAACAAGCATATAAATGATACCAATATAATTAAGAATGTAAATGGGATGTCTTTTTTATATTTTATTTAGTACTCATAAAAATCATTCAGATCAATTTTAACCAATTACAGCAGAGGAGCTAAATCTAAGACTATTCTATTTACAATGTATATTAGATGGTCATATTGTGTAAAATAATTGCTAACAGTCTAACAGACTAGGATCTTGTGAAAACAAATATTCTTTAAAACCACTGAGCCAGTTTAAACCCGAGATAGATTTGACCGTGATGATCAGAGGACCATTGCTATTTGATAGATATATTAGAGTTGTCTTTGAAGAACTTTTATGTTTGACAAGTTATAGAGAGAATACTGACATACACAGAGGTTTTTAAATGCAATAGCTTTATCTGTTGTGCCGTTTTGCTCATGCTCAAAACCATCACTATTGAACATCAAGCCAGTGCGAGCGATCACCAAGGCTTGTTTTTACCAGATTCAGAATATTGGTCGAATTCGATCTTTAATTTCGGTTGAAGCCTGTAGAACACGAGTGTGCTCCCTAGTTACATCAAGGCTAGACTATGGCAACGCATTGTTGTATGGTACCATTATCAGTAAGCTACAGCGTGTCCAAAACACAGCAGCACGTTTGATTACCCGAAAAAGGAAATTTGACTCAATTACGCCTGTTCTTATATCGTTACACTGGCTACCCATTCATTACCGTTGCCAATATAAACTTCTGATATATGTGTACAAAGCACAGCATGGCAAGGCTCCTAGCTACCTTCAAGACCTAATTACGCCATACAAACCCAACAGATCCCTCAGGTCGGAAAACAGTATGCTTTTACATCCTCCGAATGACGTCCGATCGAAAAGCTAAGGTGAGAGGCGTTTTGACAAGGCCGCGCCTACACTCTGGAACAGTTTACCATTGTCCTTGCGGAGTGTGAATTCTTTAGATGGTTTTAAAAAGCAACATCAAGACTCACTTCTTTCGAACTGCTTTTAAGGATTTCTTGTAGATTTTATATACTTTTAATTGACTGCATTAATTTTAGACTGTTTTGTATATTTCAGGGTACATGCATTTTTATACGACCGCCAAAAAATTTTGAGGTCGTATATTGGTATGACGTTGGCGTCGTCGTCGTCGTCGTCGTCTGAAGACACATTGGTTTTCGCACTCTAACTTTAGTTTAAGTGAATGGATCTCTATGAAATTTGACCATAAGGTTCAATACCACAAAAGGAAGGTGGGGATGGATTTTGGGGGTTATGGTACCAACAGTTAAGGAATTAGGGGCCAAAAATAGGCATTTTTGTAACTTCCAGACAAAACTTGTGTGTTAGTGTATGGATCTCTCTGACATTGTACCACAAGGTTCCATATCACAAAGGGAATGCTGGGATTGATTTTGGGGATAATTGCCTCCAAATTTTAGGAATTAGGGGCAAAAAACAAGCATTTTTCTAGTTTCATGACAATAACTTGTGTGTAAGTGTATGGATCTCTCTGACATTGTACCACAAGGTTCCATATCACAAAGGGAATGCTGGGATTGATTTTGGGGGTAATTGCCTCAAAATTTTAGGAATTAGGGGCCAAAAAGGGGCAAAAAACAAGCATTTTTCTAGTTTCATGACAATAACTTGTATGTAAGTGTATGGATCTTTATGAAATTGTACTACAAGGTTCCATATCACAAAGGGAAAGCTGGAATTGAGTTTGGGGGTAATTGCCCAAAACGTTTAGGAATAAGGGGCCAAAAAGGGGCCAAAAATAAGCATTTTTATTCTAGTTTCCAGACAATAACTTGTGTTCAAGTGTATGGATCTCTCTGAAATTGTACTGCAAGGTACCATACCAATAAGGGAAGGCTGGGATTGATTTTGGGGGTAATTCCCTCAAAATTTTAGGAATTCTGGACCATAAAAGGGCAAAAAAACAAGCATTTTTTCTAGTTTCAGGACAATAACTTGTGTGTAAGTGTATGGATCTTTATGAAATTGTACTGCAAGGTTCCATATGACAAAGGGAAAGCTGGGTATGAGTTTGGGGGTAATTGCCCTAAACGTTTAGGAATTTGGGGCCAAAAAACAAGCATTTTTCTAGTTTCCAGACAATAACTTGTGTTCAAGTGTATGGATCTCTCTGAAATTGTACTGCAAGGTACCATACCACAAAGGGAAGGCTGGGATTGAGTTTGGGGGTAATGAATCATAAGGGGGTTAAAAAAAATTGGGGGGGGGGGGATTTTTTTTTCCTTTTTTACTGTAAAATTTTCCATTTTAAATTGGTTATTTCTGATTTATATATAAAAGCAAATAATAATGATATGGTTTGAATAGGTAAATTAAAAATTTTTAAGTTATTAGACCACATTCATTCTGTGTCAGAAACCTATGCTGTGTCAAATATTTAATTACAATCCAAATTCAGTGCTGTATCAAGCTTGAATGTTGTGTCCATACTTGCCCCAACTGTTCAGGGTTCGACCTCTGCGGTCGTATCAAGCTGCGCCCCAGCGGAGCATTTTATTATTTTTTTTTTTAATCTTTATCTGCTTGTTTGATTCATATTAGTTGGTGCTTCGTATTCTATGTTTTATGTATTTTTGTATTTTATTTATTTTTAAAAGGGGAAGCGCTTAGAGTAATTGTTGTTATTATATAATGCGCTCTATAAATATTGTATTTATAATGGATTTTTTGTTAGTTAAAGCCATATAAATTATGTGAATCAGTGACAGAAATTTATATTTTAAACTTTTATGATTGACTTTAACACTAAATAGACCTTGAGAAGGGCGAGGACATAGCAAGTTTACACAAACAGATATCAGCCTGTGATACCATTTTAGAGGTGAGAACTTTAACTGTTGAGAAAATGTACTACATTGTAATAGCATAGTTTACTTTTGTGTATGATACATATAATTTTCTCCAAAAATTGAATTAAAGACCCTTTCAAAAACCAATTCAGATATTATTTGCTTAGCTAAGCACAGTGCCACAATTTGTTCACTATTAGGCCAAGTAAATTTAATTAGTAGATTTTCATCCAAATTTTTTTTAAAAATGGGGTGGGTGGGAGGATTTTATTTTTTATTTTTTATTAGATATGAAACGCTCTTGTGACGTGTTCTTCATATATGCAAGTGTAATAATAAGGTTCTATCATGTATATACATGTATAACGAATCAAACACAAAGAAATGCAAAAACCAAAATTTGAAACAGGATGTTATTAATGAAACGAAATTATCGACAGTTACCGGTAACGAAAATGAACAAAATCCGGAAATCGTAAATTTTTCAAAATAAAAAAAATTGGGGCGGAACGATTTCAGAGGGGCGGGCGGGGATGAAAATCTATCAATTAATTTTAATTGGCCTTATGGGAATTTTTTATCATTCTAAAGGAAAAATTACAGGTTTCACACATTTATGGTCAACTTTAAAAGACTGCAGCACTGTTAATTCCACCCCTCTATATGAACTGTGCCATAAAGGTCATGTGTACTACTGGATAATAAAATAGGTTTTCTACTTTGTATCACCTGTGGTTAATGGATAATTTTTGCACAAAACTTGATTATGTTTTCAGAGAATGGAACAAATGTTAAATGGTTTCCAAGGTGATTTGAGTAGTATTAGTACAGAAATACAGACTTTACAAGAACAGTCAGTTACCATGAATGTAAAACTGAAAAATAGACAGGTAATCTAAAAAAATTATCAGAAACAATTGTAGAGTTTTAAATAGGTTTCAAAGTAGTTCTTTGACAATATAAAGTAGCCGGAGAAATGGAGGAACCATTGCGTGCTGTCTTGTGATGACCAGGGGTTTCAAGAGCAGAAGCCTTGTAAAGGGACAAGGGGTCTGTGGGGTGAATCCAATATTGTGAATGTAATATTAAAGAGCAGATATGCAATTTTAGTCATTATTAGGAACAAATGTCAGTGACTTTGAATATAAAACTTCAATCAGAGTTAATCATTTTCAGAAGCAGTGATCAGTTATCGTGAATGTAAAACTGGAAATGGACTTTCAAGAAAAAAGGGAGGAGTTAGTAATCTTAATAGTCAGCATAAGGAACAGTCATCTTGATCACATTTATCTTTATAGAATATTTAGTTTTTAAAATTGATCATACGAAAACACAATTGTATAATTAAATTTAATAGACTGACTATGAAAATATTACACCTTTGTACTACTTTGTGATTACAGACCAAATTTTGGTTGAAAGTTGATAATATAAATAATTTTCATAATTCGCATGTGCTAGTAAGTCTGTAGTTACGTTTTACACACCTAACACTTATCTCATGTTTATAAATCATAGCAAAGATGTTGTAATTTAAAGATCCTCACAATAATCTATAATCATATGTCACTATGAATATTAATTCCATCAATTTTATTGGACATTTGGTTCATTAAAAATCAATTAGTCTTGCATTATTGTTTCTTCCATGCAGAAATAGACATTTTTATACTAAAAAATATGACTTTTGTCATGCATGTGATTTTCAGCTCATAATGTGAGACATAGGGATGCCAATTGTCGTGAACTATTTGTATAAAACTTTACGTTTCAGAAGGTAAAATACGTGGCTGATTCATACCTTGTATATAGAGGCCTTATGTGACAAAGTTTCTGTCTGTCATATGTCTGTTGTCCTTGACCTCATTTTCTTGGTTCAGTGAGTTCTTAAAAAAAAACGTATAGTTATTTTGTCACGTGACTTTCTCATTTATGAGTAATAGAGTAACTAAATTTGGTATATGGGATCCTTGCAAGGTCTACATGTCCTTCAGACAGGGTTCACCTGACCTTGACCTCATTTCATTCATCAGTGATCAAGGTTAAAGTTTCATGGTCAAGTCAGCATCTCAGATACTATAAGCAATGTGTCAACTTATTTAGTGTATTTAATTATTGAAAAGTTTCATCTGACCTTGACCTCATTTATATGGATTATTAAATATGTAGTTTACCTTTATCTTTAAGACTTTGAACATAAAGTAAATTATGCTCAGTAAAGCAGGTTAGACATTTCAGTGTGTGCACCTTTGTTAACAAAGAAGAGAGAGAGAAAAATCTATTTCAATATGATATATTTATTTCAGGCAGTCAGAGGGGAACTGAGCCAGTTTGTTGATGAAATGGTTATTCCAGAAACCATGATCAAGTAAGAAAACAGTTCAGTTAACTTATTATTGTTCATGTTTCTTTATTTTTATATTACCTCACTTAGGTAAGCTGGGTGTATAAAGTGATCATTGTGTCTATTCTTTTGTTCAGACATTCTTTGCACTTCTATCTGAAATTTAAAAACAAGTTTTTTGTTCACTTATCTTTCTTTATGTTTCATATGTATTTGATTAGAAGGGAATACACATATGTAGGCTCAAGGAAATACCTTATGCAGATATATGCATTTTATATGCAAAATGCAACATAATAAACTATAAATATTTTAAAAAGGAAAACAATCTCCTAAAAAGAATACTTGAGACTTACAAAGTCATAATTTTTCTAAATTTCATCCAATAATAGAATGTAAACAAGTGTAACTATAAAAAAATTAATTATAATTCTTGATTGTGTTCCTTTTAATCCAGTCATATATTAGATACACCAGTTACAGAAAGAGAATTTCTTGAACAGCTCCATGAACTTCATCATAAGATCAACTTTGTAAAGGAACAGTCATTTAAGGAAGCGAGATCATGTTTTGATGTCAAAGATATCCTAGAAAAATTGAAAATTAAGGTTGGTATAAGATAAACAGCTAAGTATTGTAATGAATCAAAACTTAAGTACATCAGTTGGAATTTCATGACAAAAGGATATATTTTTTCTTGAAAAATGTCTTTGTAGAGTCTTTGTGTAGTCTTTGGTAAAAAAAATTAGCATACAAACGTGTTAAAATTTAGTAAATTTACAAGAATCTGTTGTTACATGTTGCTCAAGGTTTCAATTGGCTGTTGCTGTTTTCTTTTCAATCAATTTTTGTTGTTCATAAATATCTAACTCTTTCACACTATATTTCAAGTTAAGGATGCACACAAACACCACATGATTTGTTAGAATTTTGGGAACACAACTTGAGGACTTAAAACTAATATTAATTTTGATAAATTTGCTTAAAAGTACATATTTATGCAAAATGTATAGATCTGCAAAAAACTGCTGTTCTCATCTTATCAAAAGAATAAATATTGAATTATTACTCAATTTTCAAACATGCATATATTTCATCATACACAGCATATTTAAAAATTCTTTAATAATTGTTACTAACTATACTCTATAGTTTGTATTTATACTTTCAGGCTATTTCAAAGATTAGAGAATATATTCTACAAAAAATAAATTCATTCAAAAAACCAATGAGTAATTACCAGGTTCCACAGAATGCCATGCTAAAGTTCAGGTAAAGATGATGAAAAATAATAGAAGCATACAAAAACTATGTATAATACCTGTTCTCAGTAATCTTTTGCTTTATTCGATAATATTTGTATAATAACATCATAAAACATGGAAAATAATATAGCATACAGTTAGTTCACATGTTAAATTTTATGATCAGGTCAGTTTAGTTGGAACCACTAATAATAAGTTAATTGCATTTGGTATGCATCTGTTTTTAGTATTGGCATATCTGATTGTCACAGAGATTATTTTAGCCATTCACCTTCAGTCATGTTTCATTAACTTTAAATGCTTTAATTTCAACATTTGTATTGTTCTATGAAAATTGCATAAGGCAAGACATATCTCTGTGTCCACTGGCACTAATAAGATTTTGTTAATAGATTCTTAATTTTCATATTTTAAGTTTTTTTTATTTTTTGCTTAAAATCACACTTCTAAATTTAATTAATGGGTAAAATCCCCTTCCAAACAGCAGTGCATCTGTGTTTAAGATTTGAAATATGTTTTCTTCAGGTTTTTCAATGAGTTTCTGATGTCCCATGAAAGACATGTAGCAAGGGAGATAAGAGATGAATATGTTGATACCATGAGTAAAATTTACCTGTCCTACTTCAAAGGATACCTAAGTCGTCTGATGAAATTACAGGTAATTTCGTAAATATAACATTTACAAGGATGAAGTCTGTTAAGAGGCATTTTTGGAACTAAAATTGGAATGAAATTGTCATTGAATAAGCAAATTTTTAATACCAGTTCATGTTTTTATTTCATGATCAGAAGACTATGTTTTGTACAGAATACATATTATACTATGCATGTTGCTTACTTATTAGCTCACTTGGCCCTTTTGGGCCAAGTGAGCTTTTCTCATCACTTGGCGTCTGTCGTCGTCCTCCGTCATCGTCTGTTAACTTTTACAAAAATCTTCTCTGAAACCATTGAGCCAAATTTAACCAAACTTGGCCACAATCATCATTGGGGTATCTAGTTTAAACAATGTGACCGACGACCCCGCCTGCCAACCAACATGGCAGCCATGGCTAAAAATAGAACATAGGGGTAAAATACAGTTTTTGGCTTATATCTCTGAAACTAAATCATTTAGAGCAAATCTGTCATGGGTAAAAATGTTCATCAGGTTAAGATCTATCTGCCCTTAAATTTTCAGACTAATCAGACAACCCGTTGTTGGGTTGCTGCCCCTGAATTGGTAATTTTAAGGAAATTTTGCAGCTTTTTGTTATTATCTTGAATATTATTATAGATAGAGATAAATTGTAAACAGCAATAATGTTCAGCAAAGTAAGATCTACAAAAAATTCAACATGACCAAAATTGTCAATTGATCCCTAAGGAGTTATTACCCTTTAAAGTCAATTTTTAACCATTTTTCGAACATTTTTGTAATCTTTTACAAAAATCTTCTCTGAAACTACTAAGACAAATTTAACCAAACTTGGCCACAATCATCATAAGGTTATCTAGTTCAAAAAATGTGTCCAATGACCCGCCTGCCAACCAACATGGCTGACATAGCTAAAAATAGAACATATGGGTGAAATGCAGTTTTTGGCTTATATCTCTGAAACTAAAGCAAAAGTATAATGGTTGCATTATTTCATGCATCAATTGTAAACAAAAATATCAGGTGAGCGACACAGGCTCCTTGGAGCCTCTAGTTTTTACAGTTACGGTACTTAATTTTGGTTTCTTTTAGGATCTCAAAAAAAAAGTTTTAAAACATTTTTTATTTTTATGCCCCCGCTGTGTTGGAGGGGGCATTAAGTTTTACCTTTGTCTGTCTGTCTGTCTGTACGTCCCAAAATTGGTTTCCGTTCTCTAACTTTAGTTTGCCTCAACCAAATGTTATGAAACTTATACACAATGCCTATTACCACAAAACACAGATCAAGTTTGAATTTTGGTTGGTGTCACTTTTACCGTTCTAGAGTTATGTCTCTTTACAAATGGAAAAATTGCTGAAATATTCGTTTCTGTTCTCTAACTTTAGTTTGCCTCAACCAAATGTTATGAAACTTATGCACAATGCTAATTACCACATGACACAGATCAAGTTCGAATTTTGGTGGTGGCACTTTTACCGTTCTATAGTTATGCCCCTTTACAAATGGAAAAATTGCTGAACTTTTCATTTCTGTTCTCTAACTTTAGTTTGCTTCAACCAAATGTTATGAAACTTATGCACAATGCTGATTACCACAAAAAACAGATCAGTTTCGAATTTTGGTGGAGTCACTTTTATCGTTCTAGAGTTATGCCCCTTTACAAATGGAAAAATTGCTGAATTTTTCGTTTCTGTTTTCTAACTTAAGTTTGCCTCAACCAAATGTTATGAAACTTATAAACAATGCTTATTACCACAAAACTCAGATCAAGTACAAATTTGGGTAGCGTCACTTTTACAGTTCTTGAGTTATGTCCCTTTATAACTTTATATGCAAGCGGGGGCATCATCTGTGTCCCATGGACACATTCCCCCATTTAATTATGATTAGACGATACTAGAACAAGTTAAAAAATTACCATTTGGAGTATTCAAAATTTAAATTCATGACACAACGATATTCTTACAATTACTCTTGTTTCATGTGTTGTATCAGAAAGTTATACTTGATTTCCAAAAATATCATAGTGAAATGAAAGGAAATATAAGTTAAATTTAGTTGTTTTATTTTTTATCCTGTACAGTTTGAAGAATCAGCAGATAAAGAAGACTTGATGGGAGCAGAAGACTCTGCCAAGAAAGATATCCTTGTCAATTTTAAAACAGGAAAGAGAAATTCATAACAATATGAAGAGATATACATTTTTTATCTATATAACAATCTTTTGCAGTAACTGGAAAAGGCTATATACTGAATTAAAGTGTTGTTGATCACTAATTTTTCACACTTCTCTTCTTCATTTAGATTAGTGAGGCATAATACAAATGTGATTTAGACCAGTTTGATTTTGAAATGAGGGACTTTTGGCACCAATAATATTAGTCAAGAAAAGGTTAAATTCCTGACCTATATTATTGTACTGACCGACAGCATATATAGCAATCTAGGTTGCTATACCAGTTTGCATTTAGTAGGAAAGAATTGATTGCTTGAACAATAAAAGGGTAATCTTCATATCAGTGTCTGTGGTTTTTATATCACAAAGAATAGTATTTAAGTTAAAATGATTTATTTAATCTTCCCCAAAGGAAAGATGTATTCTACTTGAAGGAATTCAGTGTTAAAATATGAGATTTTCCTTAATTTGAATCAAGCTTCTTCAGTTCTAAGCCAACACTTAAGAACAGATCCACTGTGTTTACACTGGGGAGCAGAGGCAATGTGCTGACTACAGATCTAGAAGGACCCATCATTGTACCACATGCTTCTCAAAAACAGGAAACAAAGGTAGGGAACTATGACTCCACTGCAAGCATCTAAGAATCATGAAATTAAGATAGGGAGTAGTCATTCTGCTGCAAAGCGTGCATCTCAAAATCTTGATTAAATGTAGGAAGCAGTCATCATTCATTATCTCATGAGAAGAAGTAAGTTTTTATCGTATTTTGCTATCACGTCATCGTCGGTGGCGGCGGTGTCTGAAGACATTTGGTTTCTGGACAATAACTTTAGTTTAAGTGTATGGATCTCTATGAAATTTAAGCAAAAGGTCCAATACCACTAAAGGAAGGTTGGGATTGTTTTTGGGGGTGATGGTCCCAACCGTTTAGGAATTAGGGGCCGAAAAGGGGCCCAAAACAAGCATTTCTAGTTTCAGGACAATAATTTTTTTTATTTTTTTTTGGGAGAGGGGGGTCAATTTTTTGTTCCATAAGATTTAAGAAATTGTCAATTTTCCAAAGAAAAATTGGGGGTCACATTTTATTTTGCTAATTCTTTGTATATAGTCTGAAAACAGATTTACTAAATATTGCACAACAGCACAGTGTATTGCACAACAGCAAGAAATCTTCAAATGAATATAAATTAAAATCATATAACCAATTTTAAGTTCTTTGACTACATTTATTCTGTGTCAGAAACCTATAATGTGTCAAATATTTAATTACAATCCAAATTCAGACCTGTATCAAGCTTGAATATTGTGTCCATTTTTGTCCCAACTGTTCAGGGTTGGACCTCTGCGTTCGTATCCAGCTGCGCTCGGCGAAGCAGTTTATTTCTCAGTTGTTGTAAGAAAACTAATACTTGTCAAATATATATTTTTTCATTTAATGAAAAAGCCTGGAATGTATAAAATACAAAACATTTCAAAGGATATTTTAAGATTTTCTGTAGGAAAAACAATTGGAAGAGCAAATTAAGGTTAACAGTTTCATTTTTTTTTACAACTCAATGCCAATAGATCTAGTTTACAACCCAGTTTTCTCCCTTCGAAAAAAAATCCAATTTTTGTCATAAAAACCCTACTTTATTCAGTTAAAAAAACCACAGATTTATTCAACATTACCCTTATAAACATTTAAAAGGGATGTGATATTTTTCAGCATAATTTTGAGAGTTTATTCCGAAGTCTACACTATGCTGTGATGGATAACTGCTGTAGAGAATACTTATTTCTAGTAGATTTCTTCATGGTGACAGGACCATCTGCTACAGATCTGTTTAATGCTATTATGTCTAAAACTGTGTCATTATTTTTGGTGAGTGAATCAGATGGTTTCAGTATTTTACTTAGTGTCAGGAAACTTATGGAGTAAGATAAATAGTATAAGTTAAATAACTGTCTCATGATTAGTTTTATGATAAGGGCTTTTTCTTAAAAAACACACATGGGATGGCAACTTCAATTCCCAACTATGGGTGGTAATGACATATAATGTTATACATACAAGTTTTTAATGTATGTCTCCACACAGTTGCTTTTATGGGTGGTTATTTCATTTTCAAAGTAACTTCCCTGGCAAGTCGTGAACCATGTATCTTTAAATGCAACAGGCTTTGTACTGTACTGATACATGTTAAAAAAAAGTTTCAGACATTCATACTATCGTTGTATAATTTATAAAAGGGAAAAGATGCAAGGCGGGGCAATAAAAAACAAACATCAGTTAAAGAAAAAAAGGCATGACTTGGCCAAAAGAAAAAAAAAACAAATCTACAAACAAGAGACCACAAAACACTTCGCAGCTGGCTAAAGATGAGAAACACGAACTCCATCAAAACTGGGCTGAAATCAGGTGGTCCTAAATACTCAGAAGTTCTTGCTGCACTAATGACATCTATCATGTTATTCCTGTTAAAAATCCTTTAATGAAACATACCCAGTGTTAAGGGATCACTAAATAGCAGATTGCTAAATATTTCTGGTCTAATTTTGTGACATAACCAATTTAATAAACCATCAACACCCAGATCATGTAAATTATAAACACTACCAGTATTACATGACCTATTATGACAGTTTTCTGGATATAGGATAGGCAAGACTGTTGTCCTTAAAATCAACACAGACATTGAAAAATAAAGTAGCCTGGCTACACCACAGAAAACTAAGGCAAAGTAACACAAACCCCCTTTTAAAAAACTATCTATCTGGTGCTTTGGAAGGGTGAGCAGTTCCTACTATTCTTGTTATTCTGTTGACAATGGATTATAATGTGACAATATTGAATAAACTTAAATTATGTTGTCATAATAGTTATGAAAAAAAATTCTGAAAAAAATCATCACTCATATTATATAATGATAACTTTAATTCTAATTACAAAAAAACCAACAACAAACAAACAAAACAAATAAAAAAAGTCAAAAGTATTAAAGGATTATAATAATTACATTACAGTCAAAGATGGAAGAATACACTGCTGACTGTTTTGATTCTATAGCTATATTTCTATGTATACATGTAGTATATAGGTATAAATCAATGATGAACAAAAGAGGGGTACCTGCAATAGATAGGTAAGGTATATTATGTTTGTTTCACATATAATGAGTGGTGGACTATTTGTTTGGAAAAGAGAAGGTCAGCTAAGTGCTCTATTTGGCATCAAAATTGAAGTATTAAATAATGAGGTGATTTTTATATAAAGATAACTGCTATTTATGTGCAAACTTTAAGTCATAAGGAAGTCCATCCCACATTGTTTTTTTAGCTCTAATCAAAAGAATAAAAATTGCTAATGTTTCAAAATTGTTGAAGATTTGACATCATTTGAATAATATGCTGACTAATTGTTTTACTTTTTAGGTATTGGGATGCATTAGTTCAGGTGATGTGGCCTAGATTTCAGCTGATTTTAGAAATGAATACACAGAGTATTAGGGCAGTAGATCCATCAAAACTTGGACATATAGATGTTCGACCACATTATGTAAGCAATTCAAATTGACAAATAAACAAAATAACACATAATTAAGATATAATCATATTAAACTAAGCAGCTTTATAAGTATTGTATGACATAACACATAACAATGAACAATAATCAATAAACACAATATAGTAAAAAAAACCTTCAGTTTAATAAATAAAATTTATTATATGTAACCGTAAATACTATTATTGTAAAAATCAATTAGTCAGCGATACATATTGTATACTGCTTTATTTTCTATATTTAACCCCTTGATACCCTTGTCAGGTGGTAGTGTATGGGGGTATGCAAAATCCTATTGAAAAACATATAAAAGATAAAAAAAAAAAAAAAAAGCACACAATGTAGTAAAAAACCTTCAGTTTGTATCTGCAAGTGTTTAAATTATAAATTATAAATTATGATGATGATGGATGGCTGCTTGACGTCTAGTAAAAAATTAAATACTTATTCAGGACGAGAACATGTTAATGCAATATGATAATAAACCCTGCTTTGTACTAGACTAAAATGCTAAGCTGGATTTTTAACATGATATTTCACTAGGTAACAGTCCACAGGAAAACATGTCACCCTACCCTCACATGTTATGCTGACTCTGAGCTAGTCAGTCTTGGTTCTTACTACTTAGTGCTGGGTGTTAAGCGGAAAAGCTGCATAGACTAATTTAAATGTCTTTGGTTTGAATGGTCTGAGATAGAAACCATGACCTCCCAAACTTGTATATTATAATTAATTACAAAGGACCAAAACCCCAAAGGAAGTGCGATAAATATATCCCACTTTCCTCAAAAATCTTGCTATTTCATTGCCTTATCATTCATTCTCTGTATTTTAGATAACAAGGAGATATGCAGAATTTTCAGCAGCAATTGTTGGAATCAACCAGTCTTTTCCTGACGAAAGGGTATACCATCTTCTCAGTCAGCTGCAGACAGAAGTAGAAAATTTTATCCTGAAAATAGCTGCAGAATTCCCCCACAGAAAGGAACAGCTGATTTGTTTGATAAACAATTATGATATGCTGTTAGGAGTCCTGATGGTAATCTATAATTCCATATAGCTGTTTTGCGTACATTTTTTTAATTTACTTAAAATGACTATTATTTAATATAAGGATCAGAGAAATAGATTAAGTGTTAAGAATCAAGACTATCTAGAAAATCAATAAGTGATTATAAGTTACTGTAATAGTAAATGATAGATCAGCCATAATAGTAGTTTATTTTATGATATTTACTTAAATCAGGCTGTTAGTTGTCCATGTTAAATTGTTTTACTTTGTGCTATTCAGGGTTCTTTTTGCTCATCATTGAAGGCTGTAGGCCTTTAGTTTATTACATCCTTATTCTTTGTTCTTTGGTGGATAGTTATTTTTATACGACCGCAAAAAAATTTTGTGGTCTTATATTGGTATGACGTTGGCGTCGTCGTCGTCGTCGTCGTCCAGCGTCGTCGTCCGAAGACACATTGGTTTTCACACTCTAACTTTAGTTTAAGTGAATGGATCTTTTTGAAATTTGACCATAAGATTAAATACCACTAAAGGAAGGTTGGGATTGATTTTGGGGGTTATGGTACCAACAGTTAAGGAATTAGGGGCCAAAAAGGGGCCAAAAATAAGCATTTTCTAGTTTCCAGACTATAACTGTGGAACGGTGTATGGATCTCTCTGAAATTATACTACAAGTTTCCATACCACAAAGGGATGGTTAAGATTTGCTTTAGGGGGTTAAGGCTAAAACCGTTTAGGAATTAGGGGCAAAAAAGGGGGAAAAACAAGGTTGTCCTGGTTAATGGACAAATACTTTAGTACAAAACATAATTTAAAGCAGTGTAAGGGAGATAAATCAAATACATCATTGAAATTATCTCCCTTACACTGCTTTTAAATTATGTATAAAGTAATGGTTAATGAACAATAAAGATAATTTAAAACAGTGTAAGGGAGGTAATCCAAATACAACGTTTTGGTTACTTCCCTTACACTGCTTTTAAATTATGTTTAAAGAAATGCATATTTATAAAGGAAGACCAGTAAAAATATCTGCAAATGTTGCATCTTTTTTTTTTACAAAAAAATCCATATGAAAGATTTGACACTATATTTTTAATTCTATTATAAAATAGATTAAGTTAGCACTATGGTAAATTTAAATGGGTAATTATGGTTGCCAACTCCATTGGAAATTTGAAGTGAGATTATGACCATATCTTGAGGGAAAGAATTTTTTGGGGGAAAAAAGGGGGTGGGGGGTGATAAAAAGAAATTGTGGGGGGTCAATTTTTTCTCATTTCAGATTTCAGAAATTAAAAAGAATTATTCTTCAAATATTATTTTTTTTTCAAATTTCAAATATTGAAAAATTTCAAGAAGTAATCTTTAATTGCACAGTATGGCGCATTAGATTTGTAAAATCTTTGATCACATTTATTTATTTGTTATGCCGAATCTAACAGTGTATTTAGATTTTTAATATTGGGTCCAGTTTTCAAATTGGTCTACATTAAGGTCCAAAGGGTCCGAAATTAAACTTTGTTTGATTTTAGCAAAAATTGAATATATGGGGTTCTTTGATATGCTGAATCTAAACATGTATTTAGATTTTTGATTTTTGGCCCAGATTTCAAGTTGGTCCAAATTGGGGTCCAAAATTAATCTTTGTTTGATTTCAACAAAAATTGAATATATGGGGTTCTTTGATATGCTGAATCTAACCATGTATTTAGATATTTTATTTGTGGACCCTGTTATCAAATTTGTTCATATTGAGGTCAAAAGGGTCAAAAATTAAACTTTGTTTGATTTGATCAAAAATTGAAATAATGGGGTTCTTTGATATGCCAAATCTAACCGTGTATTTAGATTTTTAATTTTGGGTCCTGTTTTATAAATTGGTCTACATTAAGGTCCAAAGGGTCCAAAATTAAACTTAGTTTGATTTTAACAAAAATTGAATTCTTGGGGTTCTTTGATATGCTGAATCTAAACATGTGTTTAGATTTTTAAGCAGTTAAGCTGCTTTATGCGAGCACCCTAGATTTGTGTTCTACCCAATAAATGCTGAAATATAAACCATTGTTATTATCTGGCTGGCTATTATGTTATTTATAACTAATTGAACACTTTTTTCATACTTTTAATTCTGGAATTCAAAAAATATGACCAGAAAAACCTTAAATGATCGTCGAACCACCCAAAAGTTTTGAAGTTGCACATAGGAAGTAGTGCTCAATAGAAATCCTTATGTAGTTTATTATCCCCTGTGCTTTTGGCCAAGATGTCAAAGAACAATTGCATGAATTATTTCATCGCCGAAAATCTCTAATTACAAGTCGTTTACAGTTGCCAAATGGCACAAAGTGCAGGAATATTGTATAACGGCTGTGACTAATATGACACGGAGTTGAAGTCTCAGTTGGCGGTAATTTTAACTTCGTCGACAAAACGTAAATCAAGGACGTTTTAAATTTGGTGATTTCTGATAATAATCATTTTGTTCAACCGCTGGCTTTATACCGAAAATCGCCAACATGTTATTTGTAAATCCGAGTAAAACGTATCTGACTGACAAAAACAACATTGAAAAACAATGGATGCCATAAACCGGAAATGAAGACAATTATAATACCGGATCTAATTCCGGGGGCGGATAAGGGTAATTCCGGGTTTGCCGATCAAATACAATAAAAATATAATAATTCCAGGCATGAGACAAAATACATCTATCATGATGAAATATAAACTCTAGAATTGAAAACCAAAGATATATTGAAAAGAAAGAAAAAGCAGGAAATATTTTATACAGAAACTCAAAATTACTTTTAGTTCACAAATTTTCATGTCAAAAACCAATAAAATGTGACAGTATTTTCCTTATCATTAATATATATTGATATTACATGTAGATGTTTTTATTGTTTAAACATATTACTACAATTCCATGAGGTAATTTCTTCTGAATTTTGAAGGGCCTATAAAATCTGGAAGTTTCTTACTTTATTTTCACAGAGGAACTAGCTAATATAATATATAGTGCAACTAGATATGATACACTTAAACAGTTTTGAATTTGAACTGTTTAATATAATGGTATAATTAGTAATAAATAATCAATTGTTGAGACAACACACCACCCACAGTGATACCCTCAGCCTCCCTCAGCCTTCCCAATACAAAAAAAAAGATTATTTGAATTCATAAATTAATATACAAGACAATTACATTTATTATTAAACATGTTAAACGACAGTGACACTGACAATGAAACAAGCTAACTTAACACCAAAAGCACATTAAAGTATCTTACTATGTTATGAACTATTTCAAGTAAAAGCAGGACCTGGAATTTAGGTTGTGGACCTTTCAGTTTGGAGTGTCAAAGGTCCTGGACTGTCCAGTACCAAATGTTAATTTTAACCCCTGCATTCACAGTAAAGCGATTTTGATGTGTATTGCAATTCCAAGTAGAATTTACTTTTGGACATTAAACGTTTCGAATGCGTATTAAACTAATTCAAATCAGTTAATAATGTGAATCGAATTCGAATTATGTGTAAACGCAGCATTGATATATCTAAGAAATGAAGAATATTAAAAAAAGATGGACAAAATATTTGTATTAAATTTGTAGCAATTTTGTCTTGCCTTGACAGAGTCAAAAAGTGAGACATATATATATATATAGGCATGCTGTTTTGGCGGAATCAACAATGTATTAGTTTGTGATTTTGTGATAAGGTCTGGTTTCTGGTAGGTCAATGACATTTGGTAAGTAGTTGTGTTAGCATAGGCACATCTCATTACCATAGAGAATATTTGGCCCCACCCCCTTAGTCATGGTCTATTGACTTTGAAACTTTGCATAGTTTACATGTATATGTTTGTGATTAGGTCAGTTTAGGGGGAACCACTAGTTGTAGGTCAATGATATTTGGTGTGCAGTTGTATAAACTTTTTCATTTCTAATTTCCATTGAGATTATTTGGCCCCGCCCCCTCAATCATGCTCTTTTTACTTGGAAACTTATGTTACTTTGAAATTTCATTTATTAGTTTTTGATTAGGTTAGTATTAGGGAAACCAATAGTGGTAGGTAAATGATAATTGGCATGTAGGTGTAGAAGCATTAGTACGTCTCATTTCCATAGAGGATATTTGGTCCTCACCCCTCAGTCATATGCATGATCTATTGACTTTGAAACTTTTACTTAGTTTACATGAATGAGTTTGTGATTATTATGATTATGTCAGTTTAAAATTACCAGTATTCTTAAGTCAAAATTGGTATGCGAACGTATTGGTATTCAAAAGTTTCATTTCCATGGATATTATATAACCCCACCCCCTCATTATGGTTCATTGACTTAGAAATTGAATTTGTGTTTAGGTTTGTTTAAAGGGAACGACTTATGAAAAGTCAATGGTATTTGGTTTGCAGTTGTACAAGCATTGGCACCTTTCATTTCCATAGAGATTGTTTAGCCCTGTACCTTCAGTCATGGTTCATTTACTTTGAATATCACTTACATGTTAAAGTATTACTATTTTAAGTGTAACATTTGCATTATCAAAATAACAAATAGGCAAAACATATCGTTGTGTTAATAGCTTATTATAGATTAGACATGTGTAATTATTATAAAAATAAGGAGATGTGGTATGATTGCAAATGAGACAACTATCCACCAAAATTCAAATGAAGTGGATGTAAGCAATTACAGGCAACCGTACAGCCTTCAAAAATATATGTTGCATCATTGCTAGGCCATTATAACAACATCAGCATTTCTTGTAATACTAGTATACAAGAAAATTGCACCATTTCAGATAGTTTCAGGTATGATTTGATAATTGTGCATAGTGGCACCAGCTGATCCAACTAAAAGCGCTAATATGGCATATTCAAACTCTAGTACATAGTGGAATTAAACCATACACCACTGTTGGACACCATAATTGAAATTATTATTCTGAAAAGAATATTCCTCCATGCAGTCTGCAACAATTAGCAAAACCTATACTGCATAGTAAGATATAAACGACCACGAAATGACAAATGTAAAACAATAAAACTAAAGCAGCCTGATTTATGTACAAAACAATTATGAAAAATAAATATGATATACAGCAACAATCAACAATCACCAAATTACTGGGTCCTCACTATGGACAGGTACATACAGAATGTGGCGGGTTAAACACGTTAGCTGGCACAAAACTCTCCCCTAACATGGGACAGTGTATGTGCATAATCTCAGACATTAAATCTTTAAAAAATAAATTGGAAATAACTTTTGAAAGTGGTAGGATTGGATAGCAGAAACATTACGGTACAAACATTATTTGATACTTGAGAAATAGCTGAGATATATAGATTCTACCACTGCATCGAGTGTGATACGATATTTATCCACTCGAGACAGTTAAATTTTCAAATTTAAAATGCGAGGCTTGCCGAGCGTTTTAAATATTTAAAATTTAACTGTCGAGAGTGGATAAATATCGTATTACACGAGATTTGGTGGTGGAATCTGTTTCTCTAATGATTTTCAAACAATATGCGGGCAAACTTATTCCGTCTTTTCGAATGATCTGTAAAAAGATGTGTTCTTTCTATGAGACGTCATCAGGCATGGTCGCCTTTTTTCATGCCGTCACAATAGGAAATTCAGAGGAAAGCAAGAAAATTCGACGTCATAATCGGATTTTAACCAATGAAGAACTGAGATCAAACGAACCACACGTTGATTAAATTTTTTTTATACAATGGGTGCAGAAAGGATAAATTGACGAAGAATTAGAGAAAAATATTTTCATCCATTCTTCCATAATATTAATCTTAACTTCTGCCAAGTTTACCTTTGATTTTTTTAATTAACTGCCTATAGCGCCTTTGGTGCTTTGATTGATTATGGGCCCAGTTTTCAAATTGGTCCTAGATAGGGTCCAAAATTAAACTTTGTTTGATTTCAACAAAAATTGAATATATGGGGTTCTTTGATATGCTGAATCTAAACATGTATTTAGATTTTTGATTATGGGCCCAGTTTTCAAGTTGGTCCAAATTGGGGTCCAAAATTAAACTTTGTTTGATTTCAACAAAAATTGAATATATGAGGTTCTTTGATATGCTGAATCTACTAATGTATTTAGATTTTTTATTTGTGGGCCTCGCTATCAAATTTGTTCATATTGAGGTCAAAAGGGTCCAAAATTAAACTTTGTTTGATTTCATCAAAAATTGAATTATTGGGGTTCTTTGAAATGCAAAATCTAACCGTGTTTTTAGATTTTTTCATTTGGGTCCCGTTTTTTAAATTGGTCTTCATTGAGGTCCAAAGGGTCCAAAATTAAACTTAGTTTGATTTTAACAAAAATTGAATTGTTGGGGTTCTTTGATATGCTGAATCTAAACATGTGTTTAGATTTTTGATTATGGGCCCAGTTTTCAAGTTGGTCCAAGTTGGGGTCCAAAATTAAACTTTTTTTTATTTCAACAAAAATTGAATATATGGGGTTCTTTGATATGCTGAATCTAGCCATGAATTTAGATTTTTTATTTGTGGGCCCCGCTATCAAATTGGTTCATATTGAGGTCAAAAGGGTCCAAAATTAAACTTTGTTTGATTTCATCAATAATTGAATTATTGGGGTTCTTTGATATTCCAAATCTAACCGTGTATTTAGATTTTTAATTTTAAGTCCTGTTTTTTAAATTGGTCTACATTAAGGTCCAAAGGGTCCAAAATTAAACTTAGTCTGATTTTAGCAAAAATTGAATTCTTGGGGTTCTTTGATATGCTGAATCTAAACATGTGTTTAAATTTTTGATTATGGGCCCAGTTGGGGTCCAAAATTAAACTTTGTTTGATTTTAACAAAAGTTGAATATATGCTGAATCTAACCATGTATTTTGATTTTGGACATTGGACCATAATAGGTAAATTAAAAAAAAATCAAGTTCTTAGACCACATTCTTTCTGTGTTAGAAACCTATGCTGTGTCAAATATTTAATAACAATCCAAATTCAGAGCTGTATCAAGCTTGAATGTTGTGTCCATACTTGCCCCAACTGTTCAGGGTTCGACCTCTGCGGTCGTATCAAGCTGCGCCCCAGCGAAGCATTTTATTATACTGGTAAAATATTTAAAGATTCTTGTTATTTCTTTTATATTTTTCATACAGTTTAACATTTATTTCATATGGAAAAATCTAGACATCTTTTCTTGCCAAAAATACTATAACTTCTTCAGATCAGTGGAGGATACAGGGATTTTGAAAGGGGGTGTACTTCCTGAAAATGTGAGAGATCATTTTAAGTTGAAGGATGGAAAAAATTGTTATTATATTCAATTTCAGCAGCAGATGTCATTATGATAAAATTTAATGTTTTTCAGGAAAGAACAACCGAAGACTCAAAAGAGACTGAAAGTTTTAAAGAATTACTGACTGCCAGAACAGGGGAGTTTATAGAAGAGATATTATCACCTTACTTTGGTGGAATGATTATGTTTGTTAAAGATTGTGAATTACAGATGGATAGAGGAGGAGCTGAATCTATCAAATGTGACGAAAGTAAGTCATTGACATGGCAAGTAAAAATAATATCAATTTATAGTAGACATATGAAGAAATCATCTTGATTGGGTTGCACAAAGATCAATAAACATAAAATGGCATTTAGATTGTAAGATGAGAAATAAATCAGATTTGATATACACTTATATTTAACATTTATTGACATATGTGCTTCAACTGAGTCCTGGTGGTCTATATCTCTCTTCCCCTACTCTCAACACTAATTTTCCTCATGGCTTGAAGGTCACTTTTATATTGAGTTAAGGATAAAAGAAGAAAGATAAATTATTCTGCAGAACAACAAGAAAGACAAAAGGTAAAATATTCTTATAAGAGTATTTGGTCATATTGAAAGATAATTTTATGTTGAAGGTGTTTATGATTGGCAAACAAAGGCATTTGTCCATAATTGTTTTGCTTGAAACTTTCATTTTGGGCATGCAAGTCTAGTAAAATAAACTTGAAAAGCTTGTAAATGTTTTTATTATGAATATATGCATGTATTAAAAAATGTTCACAAAACTATTTCGAGGTATTAAGAAAACTGTTTTTTGATGATACATCACACAATTTTTAATTTAAAGGTAAATGTAAAGGTCTTATGTATATTTTCTCAGCTACCATGTATATAGCAATTTTTATGACTTCAAGGGAAAAACCTAAAAATGCTGTAAGATCCAAATTTTAAAAAATAAAAAAAATAAGTAATAACAAAATTGGTCAATCAATTTAGTTTTCTTACTTCATTATTTCATTTATTTAGTGCTAGTCATCTGGTGCATTATAAATTATGTTTGTTTTACAGAAAGGGTACAACAGATAGTGAGAGGATTTAACAATGACTGGAAGAGGGCATTAGAAATGATAAATGGAGAAGTGATGAGAGCATTTACTAACTTCAAAAATGGAACACAGATACTACAAGTAGATAAATATGCAATAATTCCTTGTTATGTTGATACTGAATTCAAAGATTCAGGAAATCACTTTTTTGATGTTAATGACTTAGGGTACAAAAAGGAATCTGCTTGTAAGATCAATATTACACAAGCTTTTAATGGTGTGGAGCTTTTGAAGACATTTCATGATACCTATAAATAGATTTATAGGTTTCACAACAAATGAGAATTGGATATCTCTTGATATCATCTAAAGTAATTTAATTTCAGTATGAAAATAAATGAGCCTGTGGCGACTTTATTATTATTATTATTGAAAATAAATAACAAGAGTTGATATCAAAGGATATCCTGTTCTCTAGATATGTTAACCCTATATATCTCTTATGGTCAAAATTATCTTTGTGTAAAAATGAAAATTTTGAGAAACTTTTTTTTGGGTCTTTTTAAGGTGTTTAAGTTTGTCTTATTCAGTCCACTTTCAGCATCAAACATTAACATGAGATGTTTTCAAGCTTTTGGTACTCTTCAAAATGAAATCAAATTTGACAAAAAGAATATTTTCAGGTGAAACATTTTTTTTGTATATCATTGAAGAAATCACATGTCTATGTTAGCAATGGTGAAAAGTAGTCTGCTGTGGTCTAATGAATAGCCAAATGGTATGTCACAATATCGTAACACATTGCAGGATAGGCCAAACCGAATAAACACTTTTTAGTATTCCTTATTCTTATCACACTCCACTCAGTGTGATACGAGAAATATCTCTTCATGCAGGAAATAGATAACAGGACATAACCATAAGAGAAATTTTATTACATGAATGGCAGTATAGATTGCCACAGATAAGCTTGGATTGTCCTCATGAGATTCAAGGTTATATTCTTAGTCTCTAACCAATTAGAATGCTATAAAAACACATCTGACTGACTGAATGGTGGATCAAGATACTTTTCTCTGCATGTAGTTGATTTATCTCAGTTTGTTGCCACAAAATTATTAATGAAGATGTAGCTTGATACTGTTTGCATGAAGATAGATAAAAGGTCAGATCCATAAAAGGTATAATAAATCATAATGAAACTAAAATTAAATTAATTTACATAAAACTTCCATGCTCAACAGTAAGACAACTTAATTGCCCTTAAAACTCAAAGTGTTGTAGATGAATATTCAGATACCACAGTCAGTTATGATTTTTGTATTTTCAGGTTGCCCTTTAGTCTCAAAGTGTTATAGAAAAATATTCAGATACCACAGTTAATTATGATTTTTGTATTTTCAGGGTGCATTAACACAGCTGATACAGTACTACCACAGATTCCAAAAAGTTCTTTCTCAAGGAGCATTCAGGAATATGCAGATTAGAAATGAACTCATAAATATTCATCATGTTATGGTTGAAGTTAAAAAATACAAACCTACCTTCTGATTAGACTCTAAAAAAGAAGTTTGACACATTCCATTTAATATCTGTGATCAAGCCCGATAACATCTCATCTCATAGAACTAAGGTGAACACAAGAGGCTTCTTTCTGAAAGGAAATTAAGTCAATGCTCATAAGAGTTCAGTGGTTGTAAAATGTTTGGTGTGTGAAATAAAGATTAACCAAAAAGTATTGATGCCAAAATAAATATAACATACCTCAAATTTTGTTAAATGTTCAAAAAGAATGCAAATCATATAAAAAAAAGCCATACTGTTTCAAAGTTTATGAAATTCCAGCATCATAGTTTGGTTCTTTTCCTTTTTACAATATTTTTAGGAGTAAAAATGAAAATTATACAGTTTTTCATAAATTCTCTATTTACTATCATACAAAACAAACAGTTGTTATCTATAATATGTTAGTATATTAGTCATAGATATTTCAATACTTTAGAATACTAACGTATAAAAATTGAACGTAAAATTATATTTTTGCAGATCCTGAAAGATACTTTTCAATTTGTTTATTGATTTATTGAATTAATTCAAATAAATTGGTCATGTGCAATAAAATGGATTATTTATAGTTTATTTATTCATATGAATAAAAATGTTAAATCTTATTGTTTGAATATGTTTGATCAAATGTGTATATGAAGTAGCAAGAATCAAAAATGAAAAGACATTCAAAAACATAATATGTTACCATATAGCCTGGCATATGATCATACTGTGTTCTAGCTTTATTAAAGTTGCCTCGTGCAATTAAACATGTGGTGCAAGTATGTGATTTCACAAAAAACTTTGAAATGAGTGTTGTATTTTTTACTACTCCAGAGATCAAAATGGACATTTCTTTCGGTGATGCTCGCTAGCAAATTAAATAAAATAATTTTAAAAATAAGTTTATATGTATATGTACTTTATTAATCCTGAAATGGTTAGATTTTTAGAACAGTTTTGCTTCATCAAATCAAAATGGCTGCCTTTTGAGGTGTCTTACAGGTCTGCTTCAAACAAAAAAGTTTTCTGATTAGAATGGAAATAATTTTTTCATGTCATGCTCTATGCTCTGACATTTTAACACATGGGTAGGTATGAATTATATTTGCCATCACTTTACACCTTGATGATGCTTGGTGTAGATATTGACAAAAATCAAACAACTATCCAACAGAGACCAAATGACATTACAGCGTTTAAAATTAGCTCAACCCATACATATAGTAAGCAGTAAGCAGTAAGCAGTAAAAATGTGAAACAACTAATTTGCTTTCTTCAGTAACCACAAGTAAGAGATTTCTACTGCAATTGTATAGTTTTTTATGCTCAACTTATGATATACTATAACAGATAGAGGGGGCATTGTGTTTTCTGGTCTGTTCACCTAACTGTTTGTCCTTCTGTACATTCATCTGTCATTCCATAAATGGGTTAAATTTTTTGGTAAAGATAGTTTACCATTAAATCTTGTCACATCAACTTGAAACCTAGTACAGATGTTCATTATGATATGAGCTTTGAAAAATATATTGCAAATAAGCGTTTTCACTCAGATTTTACAGTTCACCGAACATGGAAATGTTCTATTAACATATATTCTATTTAATTATATATTTAACTGTGAACTGTACTTACATTACCTTTATCAATGTTTATGAATAAAATGCATTTAAAGCTTGTTCCACTGATATGCTAATATTTGCTGCATATATTCTGGCCCATTTTATGACCTATGGGACCATTTTCAGTGACTCACTTTCACTTTGAACCAATTGTAATTATGGGAACGTATGCACAAATAGGTTGACAAGCACTATGTTTGCATACGAATGATTCAGTAAATAAGGAACAAAACAATGCAGTCATGTGATAAATTGTTCAAAGCAAAGGAGGACACAAAAAATAGGCAGTGAAAGGGGATAGTTTTCGTTTGTGCTATAGGGGGTTAGTATGTGAATAAAAATTGCTGACATCCCAACATTCGAACAAGTCAATCAGTCGTCAGAACAATCTCAGATTATGCTGCATATTGATTAAAAAAAAAAAACAGAAAAAATTATATTCATAAATAATTATAATATCTTTATATACATCAATTTTTCAAAGTATTTCTGCTTTGAACAATAGATATTATATAAATTATCAAATAGTATTAAGCAGGATGAAACATTTTCCTGAAATCTACCAATTTTCAAATTAGTCTATAAAGCCTAAGGTCACCTTGAGCTCTTCATCCGTCTGTTGTCTGTAAACTTTTCTTTAAAAATCTTCTCCTCTGAAACTGCTGAATGGATTGAAACCAAAGTTTGTCTGCTTAATCTGTAGGAAGTCAACTTTAAAGTATGTGATTTTTATCCTGGTTGATCAACTAACACGGCCAGTGTCTAAATATAGAGCATAAAAGTCAAAATACAGTTTTGGCTAATATTTCTAGAACTATAGCAATTAAAGAAAAACTGATAGTGTAACAATTGTCATCACAACAACAACTATTTTATTATACCATCAAATTTTGGAATAATCTGTTCCTCTGTTTTGGAGTTATTGCCCCTGAAATGTTGATTTTCAACTTCTGTGGCATTTCCTTGCCATTGTTTCAAAAATTATAGGAGCTAGCTAAGTTAAAAGTGTCAATTGCATAAATGATAAGCATGACAAGATGTATCCACCCTGAAAATTTGAGAAAAATTAAACTTCTTGTTTAGGAGTAACTGCCCCTGAAATATTGATTTTTTCCCCCAATTTTTATATGACCTCAAAAAAATTTTGTGGTCGTATATTGGTATGACGTTGGCGTCGTCGTCGTCGTCCAAAGACACATTGGTTTTGGCACTCTAACTTTAGTTTAAGTGAATGGATCTCTATGAAATTTTACCATAAGGTTCAATACCACAAAAGGAAGATTGGGATTGATTTTGGGGGTTATGGTACCAACAGTTAAGGAATTAGGGGCCAAAAAGGGGCCAAAAATAAGCATTTTTGTAACTTCCAGATATAACTTGTGTGTTAGTGTATGGATCTATCTGACATTGTACCGCAAGGTTCCATATCACAAAGGGAATACTGGGATTGATTTTGGGTGTAATTGCCTCAAAATTTTAGGAATTAGGGGCCAAAAAAGGGGCAAAAAACAAGCATTTATCTAGTTTCATGACAATAACTTGACGTGTGTAAGTGTATGGATCTTTCTGAAATTGTACTACAAGGTTCCATATCACAAAGGGAAAGCTGGAATTGAGTTAGGGGGTAATTGCCCAAAACATTTAGGAAGAAGGGGCCAAAAAGGGGCCTTAAAACAAGCATTTTTCTAGTTTCCAGACAATAACTTGTGTTCAAGTGTATGGATCTCTCTGAAATTGTACTGCAAGGTACCATACCACAAAGGGAAGGCTGGGAAGAGTTTGGGGGTGATAAATCATAAGGGGGTTCAAAATATTTGGTGAAGGGATTTTTTTTTCCTTTTTTAGCTCACCTGGCCCAAAGGGCCAAGTGAGCTTTTCTCATCACTTGGTGTCCGTCGTCGCCGTCGTCGTCCGTCGTCGTTTACTTTTACAAAAATCTTCTCCTCTGAAACTACTTGGCCAAATTAAATCAAACTTGGCCACAATCATCATTGGGGTATCTAGTTTAAAAAATTTGTCCGGTGACCAGGCCAACCAACCAAGATGGCTGCCATGGCTAAAAATAGAACATAGTGGTAAAATGTAGATTTTGGCTTATATCTCTGAAACCAAAGCATTTAGAGCAAATCTGACATAGGTAAAATTGTTTATCAGGTCAAGATCTATCTGCCATGAAATTTTCAGACCAATCAGGCAACCCGTTGTTGGGTTGCTGCCCCTGAATTGGTAATTTTAAGGAAATTTTGCCGTTTTTGGTTATTATCTTGAATATGATAATAGATAGAGATAAACTGTAAACAGCAATAATGTTCATCATAGTAAGATCTACAAATAAGTCAACTTGACCAAAATGGTCAGTTGACCCCTTAAGGAGTTATTGCCCTTTATAGTCAATTTTTAACCATTTTTCGTAAATTTTTGTCATCTTTTACAAAAATCTTCTCCTCTGAAACTACTAAGACAAATTTAACCAAACTTGTCCACAATCATCATTAGGGTATCTAGTTTAAAAAATGTGTCCGATGACCCCGCCCGCGAACTAAGATGGCCTACATGGCTAAAAAATAGTACATAGGGTAAAATGCAGTTTTTGGCTCATATCTCTGAAACCAAAGCATTTAGAGCAAATCTGATGAGGATAAAGTTGTTCATTAGGTCAAGATCGATCTGCCCTGAAATTTTTAGACCAATCAGGCAACACGTTGTTGGGTTGCTGCCCCTGAATTGGTAATTTTAAGAAAATTTTGCAGCTTTTGGTTATTATCTTGAATATTATTATAGATAGAGATAAACTGTAAACAGCAATAATGTACAGCAAAGTAAGATCTACAAATAAGTCAAACATGACCAAAATTGTCAATTGACCCCTTAAGGAGTTATTGCCCTTTATAGTCAATTTTTTACAATTTTCATAAATTTTGTAAATTTTTGTACAAAATATTTTCCACTGTAACTACTGGGCCAAGTTCATTATAGATAGAGATAATTGTAAGCATCAAGAATGTTCAGTAAAGTAAGATCTACAAACATATCACCATCACCAAAACACAATTTTGTCATGAATCCATCTGTGTCCTTTGTTTAATATGCACATAGACCAAGGTGAGAGACATAGGCTCTTTAGAGCCTCTAGTTTCCTTTTTTTTTCTTTAAAATTTTCCATTTTAAATTGGTTATTTCTGATTTATATATAAAAGCAAATAATAATGATATGGTTTGAATAGGAAAATTAAAAATTTTTAAGTTCTTAGACCACATTCATTCTGTGTCAGAAACCTATGCTGTGTCAAATATTTAATCACAATCCGAATTCAGTGCTGTATCAAGCTTGAATGTTGTGTCCATACTTGCCCCAACTGTTCAGGGTTCGACCTCTGCGGTCGTATCAAGCTGCGCCCAGTGGAGCATTTTATTAGCAGTTGTTGGCTGTTATCTTGAAAATTGGGGCTAGGTTAAAAGTGTAAATTGCAAAAAGGTTCAGCACAAAAAGATGTATCTATCCAGAAAATTAGAGAAAAATCAGTTTACCTGTTTAGGAGTTATTGTTTCTGAACTCATCTTTTTGCAGTTTTTGGCTGTTATCGTTAAAATTATAGAAGATAGGTTAAAAGTCATTTTAGTGTAAGTTACAAAAATGATCAGCAGGATCTATAAACCCTGAAAATTTCATAAAAATATATCTACCTATTTTTGAGTTATTGCCCCTGGAATATACATTTTTCCAATTTTGTGCATCATTATGCTGTTATTTTAAAAAAAACTGTAGGAGTTAGGTTAAAAGTGTTGATTGCAAAAAATGATCAGCATGACAAGATCTGACTACTCATATTTTTGACAACCTTTTGGAGTTATTGCCCCTGAAATGTAGATTTTTACAGTTTTGGCTGTTATCTAGAAACTTACAGGAGCTAGTTTAAACATGTAAATTGCAAACATGATCAGCAACACAAAGGGTAACTATAGTATGTCCATATAACGTGACGGTACCCAAATTGCAC